CAGGCAGTGTTTTGTTCTCTCAACCAGGGACTGAATTCAGGTCATCAGGCTTGGTGACAAGTGCCTTTATCCACAGAACCATCTCTCTGGTACCTTTTTCTCTTTAAAAATATATATTTGGGTCTGGAGAGATGGCTCAGTGGTTAAGAGCACTGGCTGCTCTTACAGAGGACCCAGGTTCAGTTCCCAGCACCCACACGGTGACTCACAATTATCTGTAGCTCCAGTTCAGAGGGTCCAGCTCTCTTCTGGGTGGGCACTGCATGCATATGGTGCATGGGCAGTACATGCAGACAAAACACTCAAGTACATAAAGCAAAATTAAATAAATTAGTCTTATTTTCTTGCTTAGCCTTCATCAGCCCCTCTCAGAAGAGTTGTACCCTAAAATGTGTGCTCGGGCGTTCTTGGTGCCCTTCCATACTTCATGTGGTCCTTTCCCCCAGTTCTCTCTTACCGTCTCCATTCTCGTCCACCAGGAGGAAGATCCTGTCCACGACCTCCTCAGGCGTGAGCAGCTGACCCTGCTGCTCCAGGTCCAGCTCTGCCCGGCAGGCTTTCTTCAGCTTGTAAATTGCCTACCAGAGAAAAAGAGCTAGGCTCCTCTGACAGACCTGAAGGGACCTGTGTCCCTTAGTGCCACCTCCCTAGCGCTGGCCTCCAGACTGAGCACCCTAGTGTCACCTAACACAGATATCCTGGCTACTGTTTGTTCATTTGACACTAGCCAGAGTCATCAGGGAAGAGGGAACCTCAACCGAGAACACGCCTCTAGTGGGCAAGTCTTTCAGGCATTTCAGCATTTTCTTGATTAATAATGCATGTAGGAGGCCTCCACACTCTGAAGGTCATTGGCTAGCCCAGTTAGAGGAATCAAAGAGCTTTAAGAGTGAAAGACTGGGGCTGGAGAGATGGCTCAGAGATTAAGAGCACTGGCTGCTCTTTCAGAGGACCTGAGTTCAATTCCCAGCAACCACATGGTGGCTCACAACCATCTGTTATGAGATCTGGTGCCCTCTTCTGGTGTGCAGATATACATGGAAGCAGAATGTTGTATACATAATAAATAAATAAAATCTTAAAAAAAAAAAAAAGAGTGAAAGACTGGCTGGGTGGTGGTGGTGCACGCCTTTAATCTCAGCACTTGGGAGGCAGAGGCAGGCGGATCTGTGTGAGTCTGGGAGACCAGCCTGGTTTACAAAGTGAGTTCAAAGACAGCCAGGGCTGTTATACAGAGAAACCCTGTCTCAAAAACTATAAAAACCAAACAAACAAACAAACAAAGACTGTCTCAAACAAACAAAAAGTGGAAGAGTAGAGAGAGACGGTTCAGTGGTTAAGAACACTGGCTGCTTTTCCAGAGGACCTGGGCTGAATTGTCAGTACCACATGATAGCTAACAACTCCCGGTCATTCCAGTTCTAGGGGATCTAACCCCCTCTGGCTCCTGATGGCACAGCACACAAGTGGTACACCACTGTACATGCAGGAAAAACATCCATACACATAAAATACTAGATATAAATAGCTTAAATATAACACACACACACACACACACACACACACACACACCACACATGCCCCCCCCAACCCACAAAAAGAAACATTTTGATTATTATTATTTTTTGAGACAGGGTTTCTTTGTGTAACAGTCCTGGTTGTCCTGGAACTGGCTCTGTACACCAGGCTGGCCTCAAATTCAGAGATTCACCTGTCTCTGCCTCCGGAGTGTTAGGATTAAAGGTGTGTGCTACCTCCATCCTGCCCAATTTTGATTTTTATTGACTTGTTTTTTATGTTACTTGGTTGGTACAGTCAACTTGATTGGACTGAGAGATGCCTAGAAGATTTGTTAAGCACACTTCCATGTAAGTGAGGTGTTTTCTAGAGTCAAGCGGATTGAAAGGGATCTGACAGAATGAATGGCTTCACCTTTTGATGGAAACAAAACCTCAGTAGACTGAGAAAGCTAGATCATAGAAGCTCAGAAGGCACGATATCTAGAAGGGTGTCTTTGACAGGTGTCCCTCGGGCTGGCTACTTCTTGGCTGGCATGGTGTGAGCACCCTGCCCCATCAGTGCTCCAGTCACCATGGTATTCTGCCCATGGTGATGGACAAAAGAAGAGTGAAGCTTCTGGGTCGTGAACCAAACCAGTCCTTCCTGTTTTAAATTCTTCCCTCAAATGCATCACAGCAGTGAGAATTTTGACTCAAAATTGTTCTCATGCATTTTTTTTTCCTTTTGTGATAGAGTCTCACTCTAGCCAAAGCTGGTGTGGAATTCATCATGTACGGTGCTCTGGCCTGGAACTGTCTGTCTTCATGCTTCAGCCTCATGTGTGTTGAGATTGCCGCATGAGCTTTGTTTTCTACCCATTTTATTCATTTCTTGTTTTCAATTTCTTTGGGTTTAATTTGCTCCTTTTAATGTCTTTAGGTGGCTTCTTAGATCACTGGCATTTTTGTTTTCATTTCTCAAATTAAAATTTGTTGTTATTATCACTATTATTATTATTTTGTATGTGTGTAATGGTGTGTGTGTCAGAGGGTGTGTCCTGTATATGTGAGCACATGTGAACTATGACAAGCAAGAGGAGATCAGAGGACAACTTCCAGGACTTTGTTCTTTTACTCTACCATGTAGATCCCAGGGGTTGGACTTAAGTTATCAGGTTTGGTGGCAACCAAACAGCTGGGCCATCTTGATGGCCCCAGATAACATATTGTGAATCCATATATGAATGATTTCATCACTTCTACTCCAGTTCAGGGCCAGGTGGCCCCCTGTTGAGCAGGTCACCAGGCCCCAGTGAGAAGCAGGTAGAGCATGCTCACAGGCAGACACTGACCTCGACAATGTCCAGTAGCTCCAGGCGGTCAATACAGCCATTTCGGTCCTTGTCATAGATCTTGAAGGTCCACTTAAGCTTGTGCTCCAGGGTGCCCCTCAGCACAAGGTTCAGGGCCGCCACATACTCCAGGAAGTCAATGGTGTTGTCCTGCATTGAGTGTGGACAGTGTTGAGGTCCCAGATCCCCAGGCTCACCTCTCCAGGGAGCAGGTGTGAGTCCCACTGATGCTATGTCCCCGGATTCAGCGCTCCCTGTTCCCTGCTACCCAAGAGGCTGCTGTGCCACTATGCATGCTCTTCCTCACCCTGGGCCCCTGCTCACCCTCTGCCTCACCCTTCCATGTAGCAGGGGTAGCAAGCCCATGCCACCAGGTCTAGAGAATTGATGTCCATCATTTGTCCAGAGTTTTCTGGTTCCATAATGACTCCATGCTCTATGAGGCACATTCTGGGAGCTCCTTCCTGGTATAGCCTCCACCCATGTGAGATCATAGAAACTCTGGGACCGTTTGTGGGATACCTCTGGCTGGGGTTAATCTCATCTGTGCCCAGGTCAGCAACAATTACCCACTGCAGCCTGAGATGGCTGGAAACACCCATATACTCAGCACAGGCTGGAGGCACCTGGGAGATTATCTACCCTGGCTCTCCCTGGCTCGGCTGCATTGTGTTTGTTATACAGGAACTTCAAACTGGTGCCTGTGCTGGCAGCCAGCCCAGATGGTATAGCTTTGAAAGGTCTCCTGACAAACAAGAGATGGCTTTGGCTGTCTCTTATGTTTTTCTGTAAGATTTATTTATTTTGTTTTTATGTATGAATGTTTTGCCTGCATGTATATATGTATACACGTGTGTGCCTGGTGTCCATGGAGATGAGAAGAAGGCACTGGATCACATGGAACTGGAATTATGGATGGTTGTGAGCCACCATATGGACACCGGTAATCAAGCCTCTCTCCAGCCCCCATCTTCCCTTTAAAAACTCCATCCCCAGGCTACTCTCAAGAGGGGTGCTGCAAGGGACAGGAGGGGCAGAGAGAGGAGGCTGAGGCAGGGGGATCTCAAATTTTAGGTCAGACTGGGCTACATAGTAAGACCCTATCTCAAAACAAACGGGCTAAGGAGGTGACTCCAAGGTTAAGATTGCATGTTTTTGCAGTGAACTTTGGTTCAGTTCCCAGCACTCACAGGGCAGCTCACAACCATCTACAACTCCGGTTTTAGGGAATCAGATGCCCTCTGACCTCCATGGGCACCAGGCATGCAGTGCACTACAGGTGCATACATGCAGGCAAAATGTTCATATACATAAGATGAAATAAATCTAAAAATAACAAGACTCCCAGTCCTCTAACTAGGAACACTGGACCAGGGGTTAAGACAGTGGAGTAAGTCCTTGACCCTAGGCCAATGGACTCCCTTTCTTGGGCTGCATGTGTTTGTTTGAAACAGGGTCTGTCTGTGGAATCAACATTGGCTTCACACTAGGACGTTCTCTAGAGCTGGATGGTGCATACACCACCACGTCCAGCCGCCGGTGCACCATCCTTCACCCCAGTTTTCTCATTATTTAATTTAATTCAGACAAAAAACTATGCCCCTCCCTGGTGAGACTCCTACAGCCTCAAGGAAAAGAGAAGGAGGTGGACCTGTGAGATCAGAAGTGAGCCCACCCTCTGTCCGGGACTAAGGGTGGCCGTAGGTCTCAAGAGGCATTCCCACCAAGTCAGTTTGGCACAAGTTCTTCTGCAGGACACTTTCTTCAGATTATTTGTGTATTCCCTCAATTCAGGAGCTAAAAATAGGCTTTATTCCATATTGCAGACCCCAGGGGCACCGGACATGGTAGTGCACACCTTTAATCCCAGCACTCAGGAGACCAAGGCAGGTGAAACTCTGAGTTCATGGCCAGCCTGGTCTGCAGAGTGAGTTCCAGGCTAGCTAGGACTAGATAGTGAAACCCTGTCTCAAACAAAAACCCAAAATCAAAACAGTACAACACAACAAAAAGGACCTCAGGACAACCAGATAACCTTTAAAAAATAGTCTTTTGTCATATAATTAAAAATTAATTTATTTTTATTTTATGTACATTGGTATTTTGCCTGCATGTGTGTCCGTGTAAGGGTGTCAGATCCCCAGGAACTGGAGTAAAAGACAGTAGTGAGTTGCCATGTGGGTGCTGGGGATTGAACCTGGGTCCTCTTTAAGAGCAGACAGTACTCCTAAGTACTGAGTCATCTCTCCAGTCCTCCTATCTTCATTTTTATTTTATGTGTATAAGTGTTTTACCTGTTTGCATGTATGCTACATGCATGCCTGATATCTGTGGAGGCCAGAAGTGGGCTCTGGATCCCCTGGAACTGGAGTTACAGAGAGCCGTGAGCTGCTGGGAACTGAACCTCAGTCCTCTGCAAGAACAGCCAGTGCTCTTAACCACTGGAGCCATGTCTCCAGTCCCTGAATTAAAACACATGTTTGAAGCAAAGCTGCAGTCTAAGAGAATTTAATACAGCTTTTACATACTAGGGTTAGGAGACAGAAAGACACTTGGGAAGAAAATAAGAGATACTAAGAATATAAGTCTGGGCTGCTCAAAGGACAGTAGCATTAAATTAATTTTTTTAAAGATTTTATTTATTATGTATACAACATTCTGCCTCCACATATGCCTGCACGTCAGAAGAGGGCATCAGATCTCATAAGGGATGGTTGTGAGCCACTATGTGGTTGCTGGGAATTGAACTCAGGACCTCTGGAAGAGCAGTCAATGCTCTTAACCTCTGAGCCATCTCTCCAGCCTGCATTAAATTAAATTAAGATTGGATGGGGAGATGGCTCAGCCCATAAAGTGCTTGTTGTGCAAGCATGAGGCCCCGAGTTCCTGCCCCGGCACCTACACAAAAGGCTTGCATGAGGGCTAGAGAGATGGCTCAGCAGGGCAGGTACTTCCCATCAACGCCTCTAACTCCAGTTCCAGGGGACCCATTGCCCTTTTCTGGTCACCATGGGCACTGCATTCATGTGCACAAACCCACACCATTTTTGTTTGTTTGTTTGTTTGTTTGTTTGTTTCGAGACAGAGTTTCTCTGTGTAGCTTTGGAGCCTATCCTGGCACTCGCTCTGGAGACCAGGCTGGCCTCGAACTCACAGAGATCCTCCTGCCTCTGCCTCCTGAGTGCTGGGATTAAAGGCGTGCAACACCAACGCCCAGCCAAACCCACACAATTTAAAATTCAGTAGAACAGTGCTAGGGAGTGGATACAGGAGGATTTCTGGGCTTACTGACCAGCCAGCGTATCCTAGTTGGTGATCTCCAAGCCAACGAGAGACAGCGTCACAAAAACAAGATGGAGCCTCCTAGAGATGACACCTGAGATCCATCTCTGGCCTCCATGTGCACACAAATGTACCTCCCAGGCCTGAACTCATGAATGCGAACAAACATACATACACACAAATTTTAAAGTCCGGTTACCATGTGCGCTTTACATAATTCAGTGTCTTTTAGCTGCTGATACCTTTGGAGGGCTTAAAGAGTTGAAAAGGAGAGCTGGAGAGAAGGCTCAGTAGTTATGAACACTTATTGGTCTATCAGAGGACTGGTGGCTTTTGGATCCCAGTACCCACATTGGGCAGCTCACAAACACCTGTTACTCTAGCTCTAAGTTATCTGATGCAACCTTCTGGTCTCCATTGGTATACACACACACACACACACACACACACACACACACACACACACTATTAATCCTTTTTTTTTTTTAAGAAAGAGTTAAAAGAGGCTTTTGCAACTACCCACCCACCTCCCAGTCAGTGTGAAGCCTCTGCAGCATCCAGAACAGGGAAGAGAACTGAGCAGCCTCCATCTGAAAGACCCTAGCAAGGGATGCTCTTTGTCTGTGATAAGATAGCTCTGGGACATCTCAGTCCCTTGTATTTAGAGCAACAGGGGTTCTACAGGCTTTGAAAAACCATGTCATTTTGCTATTCCTTGACCCAAAATGCACAGAGAAGTCCCAGGCTGTGTGTCAGTGACTTTTGGCTCTCAAAGAGGATTAGAGAGCCAATGAGAGGAAGAGGGGAAGGGACAGATGACAGGGGAGAGAGAGGAGCTGGGGGAAATGGTGAGACAGAAAGGGCAAGGGGCATGGAGAGGAAAGCAGGAGAATGGACCTGACTCTGAGGGGCCCAAGGATGGAAAGGGCACCAGGTGCGTTTGTCACAAGTCCCCCTACAGGGCTCCTTACCCCATTCTTGTCGAAGGCTCGGAACATGCCCTCCACATACTGGGTGGCCTCCTCGTTGCCGGTGACCTTGAAGAAGCGCTTAAACTCGTGCATGAACAATGTCCCACTGGGACACTCCACCACAAACTTCTTGTACCACTCCTGCAGCTCCGCCACGTCCATCTCCCCGGCAGCCTCCACCTCCTCCCAGCTGAACTGCTGCCCCATCTTGGCTTTTTTAATGTCAGGGAGTCAAGTCCTGTGCCTCCAAGACCTCGGCTGACCTTAGGCTCCGGCCCTCTGGCCCTGTTGCCTTGGTTCAACCAGTCATTTCATTGTCTAGGGGAAACTGGATTTGATTGGTAGTGAAGGGATCTCCAGAATGGGGGCAGCCCAGGCCAGCTTAGCTGTGTAAGACCATTAGAAGATTCCTGGGAGTGTCTGACCTCCATATGGCTAAGCTTCCTCAGGCTCGTCTCTCCACAGGTCTGGTGAGAGGGAGCAGACTATGAGCAGAAGAGCCCTGGGGGTTTTCTTGGTTTCACCAGTGTCTGCAGCTCCCTCACAGACCACACCTGAATCTTGAGTTTTCCAGTTGAAATGAAAAATGCTTCTCCCCAGCCATTACTCAAGCCTTGAAGCGACCTCTCCAATTCTCTCCCAAGCACCAATGATCGACAGGACCTGGGAGTGTAGGCTAAATAAAGTATCCTCGGTTATCTTATATTGAAGTATCTTATATTAAGGACCACATGAACCTGCTTTAGAAGCAGTTACATATTAATTATATTGACCAAGTATATATTCATTACATATTGAATCAATTACATATTCATTGTGTACAACTATAATCCCAGCACTGGAGAGGCAGGGGGATCTTGAGTTCAAGCCACTCTGGACTACCCTGTTGACATAGGAAGCCCACCCCATGTCAATAACAAATCAAATTATATATCTATGCTATCATTTATATTTTATTTATTTTTGATTTTTCGAGACAGGGTCTCTCTCTGTAGCTTTGGTGCCTGTCCTGAAACTTGCTCTGTAGACCTAGCTGGCCTCAAACTCACAGAGATCTGCCTCCTGAGTGCTGAGATTATAGGCATGTGCCACCACCACCTGACATATATTTATATATATATATATATATCTGGCTGTCCTGGAACTCACTGTATAGACCAGAATGGCCTTGAACTCACAGAGATCTACCTGCCTCCACTGCTGGGATTAAAGGTGTAGGCTACCATGCTTGGCTGGGTTTTATTTTTATTTTATATGAACAAGTGTTTGCTTGTATATATGCATGTATGTGTATCACATGCATGCAGTGTTTCATAGAGGCCAGAAGAAGGTGTTAGTTCCCTTAGATCTGGAGTTATATTCATTGTGAGCCAACACGCTGGATGCTGGGAACGGAATCTGTGTCCTCTGCAAGAGCAACAAGTGTTTTTAATCACTCAGCCATCTCTCCAATCCTTGTGCTTCTTTTATCTTTAAAAGATTTAATTTTCTTATTTTAAAATTATGTGTATTTGTGTGTGTGTGTGTGTGTGTGTGTGCTCATGTGAGTGCAGTGCCCATGGAGGCCAAAAGAGGGCATCAGATCCCCTGAAGCTAGAGTCATAGGCAGTGGTGAACCACTCAGCATTGGTGCCGGTGTCTGAACTCAGGTTCTCTGCAAGAGCAGTATAAGCTCTTAACCACTAAGCCAGCCCTCCAGCCCACCAGAACCTTTTATTAAAGCAGGGTGTGGTAGTGCACATTTGTGATCCCACTGTCCAAGGGAAGCTTGTTTTGGAATTGTTGAGGATGTGCTCTCACTCATCTCTCAGTGATCTCTGTCACCTGACACCCCATCTTATTTGAATCTCACCATTCACTTCCAATGTAGGAACTCTACTTCCACTGTCATCCTTTCACAGAGCAGTGACAGTTTCTCTTACCTCCCACATTCCTCTTGGCCCGAGGCTGGTGTTCTCCTTATACCCACTGTTACCTTCAAATGGCCCCTTTCTCCCTCAGACTGTCTGTCCCAGGGCTGGGGTAGGTGGCTCAGCAGTTACAAGTCCGTCCTTCTCTTCCAGAGAGAATGGATTTGGCTCCTAATACCCACACTGAGCGTTCACAACTGCCTGTGATTCCAGTTTTGGGGGATCTAATGCCCTCTTCTGGCTTCTGAAAGCATCTGCGTCCACATGGTGCACATACAGACAAGCATGTGCACATAAACAAAAATAAATAAAATATTTTAAATGTTTGTCCCTTTGAGGCCATGTCCCGTTCTGTTTTACTCTTCCTTGTTGCTGTCCTTCAGTAGTAAGGTCATTATTTGTGCCCAGGAAACATTTCCATGATTTCAACAGCCAAGTGGATCACTGACCATCCATCCAGACTAGCTCACAGATCCTTGGCCTCTTTAGTTGTGTTTTGCTTATTTAGCTAATTCGTTTATTTTGTGTCCATGTGAGTATAGGCACGTGTGTGCCACACTATGCATGTGGAGATCAGAGGGCATTTCCAGGAATCTGCTCTCTCCTTCTACCTTGTTGAGTCAGGGTTTCTCTGTTTCCTACTCCTCTCCTATCTCCATCTCTCATCTCACAGTCTCATCTCTCGGTGTGAGTGCCAGGGTTGCAGGTGCATACCAAAGAAACCGGCTTTATCTGTGGGTTCCGGTGAGTGAACTGAGATCATCTGTGAAACCAGCACTTTTGCAGACTGAGCCATCTTCCTGCCCTCCAGCCCTTGACTGTAAAGAGCATCACCACTTCCCCCATCGCCTGTGGTCCAAACAGCAGTGGCCTCTGGGAATGTGTCATGTATAGAATTTCTCAGGCGTCTACTCCTAGCTGACTCAGGCACCTTGGGGTGGGACCCAGCACTGTTCCAGAAAGCCCTGCAGGGCTCCCAGATGCCCCAGAGTAAAACCACTGGGCCTTGCTCCCACCAGTTTCTCTGCTGTCTTTGAAACTCAGTTCCCTTGTTGGTATCTCCTCACCTTCCAGTTCATTTATTCTAACTCCATTGCTCCAGTAATTTACCAGCCGGATTGCGGGGCCAGGCTTGTATCAGTCCCATGCTACAGAGGCTACCTACTCCGGACTGATGTCTTCAGGGCTGCCATCGGAGCCAGCCGAATGGCCCTGGGTCCATCCCCCAGCTACCCAATGTCGATAAAGAAGAGACACAGTCATCTTGTCATTTCAGGAGGGCTCTCAGTCCATGCTGGAAACTGGAGTTTGTGGTTTATTCAAACATCCTCTTAAATAGCTTTCCAATAGTGGGGGTGACCACAGAAGGCATCTACTATCATGTTTAAAGCTGATATCAAAAAATTCTTTTAACCTTAGGGGCGCACCTAAACAGTCCCTAGGCGTGTAAACAAGGCCTCAGGACAGGTTCAGGCACACCCAGGGCCTAGGTCTGTTGTTATGCAAACTAGGAGACCTTCTCCATTGAGGCCAAACCGGCATCTCTAAAGACAATGGGAGATTCAGGCTCCTGGAAATCCAGCAGAAGTTTGAACCCCAAAACTTTATAATCGATAATTTTTGGGCCCCAACACCGGATGACACTCGCAGCCTGCCGATCCAGCGGGTCACTGCCAATCTCTCTGTCACTGCTCATGTCCTTTTCCCCACTTGGCTGGGTCAAGTCTCCACTGAAGCTGTTTCCTGCCTATGCACTAACCCCTGGTCTGCACCTGGCTGAGAGCCGCTGGAGAAGAGTGGGAGGTCACGAAGCTGCCTGCCTCCTGTCACCTTATGTATGCTTTACTGATGACATCACGCTCCCTCTGAGCGACTGACTGCAGTGCAGCCTGCCCTCACAACCTGCACTCATCCCCAGAGACCCTAACATCTGCCTGAGTTTGGTGTGTCTGTGGAGGAAACTGTGGGAACGTGAAGATGGAAAGGACAGGGGCTGGAGAGCACAGGGCAACCGCCATAGTGTAAATGGGAAGCTGCAGAAGGCTTTAAGCAAGAGAGCAGCAGGTATGACTCATTCTTCAGAGTGGTGGCTCAAGCCATAATCCCAGCCCTTAGGAGGCTTAGGCACGAGGGTTGTTAGTTCTGGGCCAGCCTGGGCTGTATAGCAAGGCTTTGCCTCAAAGGAAAAAGAAATTAACAGGGGTTGGAGAGATGGCTCAGTTAAGAGCACTTGCTGCTCTTACAAGGCACCCTGGTGAAGGGTTCAGGTTTTGACTCTGATCGCCTCTACCTCTTTAAGAGACAGACCCCGTCCCCTGACAACAGTCAGGGCATGGACAGGAAATTGTGCTAAGTCATCACCACATCACCCGCCACACATTACGGCCTGCTGAGGACTCTGGGCATGCATGGAACCTCAGTGCACATGCGCAGCCTTCCCTTTAAAAGCTCCAACTTCCCTGCTGCTCGCTCTCTTTACGCCGCTCTCTCTGCTCACTCCTTCTCTGCTCTTCTCGTCTCCCACCTACGTGCTCTCTCTGCCTCTCTATGGCTGACCGCCATGTACCCCTGTTCCTCTTCTCTCTTAATCTCCCTACTCTGCCGGGCCATATAATCAACTAGTCGATATGTCTCATCCGTCTCTTTTCCTCTTTTTAAATAAAAACATAACACCTGGTTCAGTTCCTGACACCCACATGGTGGCTCATGTCTTGGACATGATGATTCCAGTTCCAGGGACTTCAACACTCTCTCTGGCCTCCTTGGGCACTGCACACATGTAGTGCATGTACATATATGGGGGGAAACACTGTACACATAAAAGATAAACCTTCAGAAATTAATTTTAAGAAGAAGCAACTTGTATGTGGACCCATGGGCACAGACCTATAATTGCAGTCACTTAGGAAGCAGGCACAGAAAAGTATGTGCTCAAGGGCTTAGTGAGACCCTTGTATGAGAGAGAGTCAGCCCGTTTAGCTTAGCAGTAAGCACTTGGCTAGCATGTATGAAGTCCTGGATTCAATTCCCAGTATCCAGGGGGAAGGAAGAAGAAAAATAAAGTCTATGAATGAAACACAACTTGATGTAGTCTCTGGCTGAGGGATCTCAAATTGGTTGGGTTTTCACGTGGGACAATTGCCCATGACCTGCCCTATAAATACCGCTGACCTATTGCATTATAAATATATCACTTTAAAGAAGATTAAGAATCCACAGCAGGGGAGGATAGCTTAAAAGGAGCAATAATAGTAAGGATTTGGAGAGGGCAGGGCTAAGCATGGAGCAGGGCATTTTCAGAGAACCCTGGAGACTGGAGACAGCCAGCTGCACGTGTGCACCAGAGTGCCACAGTGACCCTGCCAGAACTGCCTGAAAACCTGCTATCAGTTTCCATGCTGCTGTTCTTCCCACACAACGGAGCCCGCCTGCCCACCTTGCTGAGCCCAAACACTGGGTTTTCCCCTCACTCTTGGCCTGTGCCAGCAGTGGGCCCACCAGAACCCTGGTGTATCTGCTCTCTTTGTGTACATTATTTATTCCTTAAGACCCCCTCCCCCACTCAGTCTTTAGATGTGAAAAATGACCTTCAAAAAGGGAACTGGAAATAAGGTTTGAATATTCTGAAATTAACACCGACATTTGAGTCCTTCAAATCCTCCTTTTAAAAATAAAATTAGGTTTCGTATGTGAATATTTGTGTACACAAGCATGTCCCATGCACTGCACCTGTGTGGAGGTGACAGGGAATTTGGGGAGTTAGTTTTTTCTTTTCACCACGGGGGTTCCAGGCCATGCTTGGCAGCACGCACCTTCACCTGCTGAACCATCTTGTTGGCCCAGTAGAGTAAGGGTTTTCTTACTGTGTTTTTAAGACAAGGTCTTACCCTGTAGCTGAAACTGTGTGTGTGTGTGTGTGTGTGTGTGTGTGTGTGTGTGTGTGTGTGTGTGTGTACACAACTGTATGTTTGGAAGTCAGAGGACAACCTTCTGGAGTTGTTTCTCTACTTTCACCTTTCCAGTTCCAGGAGCCAAACTCAAGTTGTCAGGTTGAAGTGGCAAGTGCCTTTACCTGCTGACATCTTGATGGCCCACACCACAACCTCCTCTTTCTTCCTCTCTCCCTCCTTCCCTCCCTCCTCCCCCATCTCTCCCTTCCCTCTATTACTTCCTCTCCCCCCCCCCCTTTTTTTTAAGGCAGTGGCTCTCTATGTAGCCCTGGCTGTCTTTGAACTCATTAAGTAGACCAGGAAGGCTAGGAACTCAGAGATCTGCCCGCCTCTGCCTCCCAAGTGCTGGGATTAAAGGCGTGCATCACCATGCTTGGCTAGCCTTTTTTTTTTTTTTTTTTTTTTTTTTTCCAGGCTGCTTTAGACCTATGGTAGTCCTTTTGTCTCAGTCTCTTCAGTGCTGGGTCACAGGTGTGAATCATGCACTTGGCTCATAGCCCCATTAGGTCCTACGTTTGTCACTGTCACTCACCTGAACTTATCAATTTCACCATTTCTTGCCCCAGGTTTATCTTTCAGCTGAGTGACTAAGTAAGGAGGTACAGCTCTCCAAGCCCTGGCTCTCTGTTGTAAAGGGTTAACATCAGCATCTGCTTTATTGTTACTGAAAATCAGATGCCTCCTGGGAGAGACTCGGCATGGCATAGTGTCTGTAATGGGCATGCCATATGTGTCCAATCTCCCAGTCATGCTCTAAACTAGTCTCTCTCCCTCTCTCTCTTCTGGGTGTCTCTTAACACAACACACAACCATCACGCCACTGCCCCAGCAGCACCTCTGCCAGCTAAGGCTGCTTAGTGAATGCCAATCATGAACCCAGCAAGCTGCTCTATCTAGACCACTGCACCAAGCTTAACAGGTAGGTAGTTCCCTCCATCCCACTGGAGAGTAAGCTCAGGCTGTGAGTTTACAGCAGTTCGTGTGAACGCTTACGAGATAAGTCTGTTGGACTCCAAAGTCCACATGTCTCTACCTGGCTACTATTAGTGGAGGAACACTAATAAAAATAGAGTGGTCAGCTGACAAAGGGGCTCAAAGAGATGTTTCATGCACCCACCGTGGCTTTCCTCTTGTGCTGTGCATGTCCATACAGGCGGAGGCCAGGGTAGAAGTTGGGTCTGTTTCTCAGTTGCTCTCCATGTTTCTCCTATTTTCATTAGTACACGCTTATATGTATGTGAGCACATGTGTTTGAGTGTGGCTGCACAAGGGTGTGCATGTGTGTGGAGGCCTGAGGTTTACATGGGAAGTCATCGAGTTGATCTGCCTTCCTTACTGGGCATGGTCTCTCAGAGCTCACCAACTCTGTGGCTGTTCTCACCAGGCAGCTTGTTGGGGGAATCCGGTTACAGGTGGGTGGCCGTGTGCAACCTGCTATCTATAGGAGCTCTCCTGCTTTCCTGGTAAGCACTTAACCACGGAGCCATCTCCCCAGCCCTCTCACTGAGCCAGGAATCTGCCAATTCAGCTAGACTGGCTAGCAGCAAGTCCTAGGGACCCTTCTGTCCATTTCTCTATTTCTGGGATTACAGGAACACACCATGCCCAGCTTCTTGATGTGAGTTCTGGGGGGGGGGGGGGGGACGTGTTCTGTCAGCCGTATCTTTATCTTAAAATAGATTTTAAATTTTCATTTTTTACTTAGTGTGTTTGGAAATGTATAGGCATAAGTCAGATGACTTCCAGGGGCAGTTCTCTCCTTCCGGGTGGGTTCTGGGGATTTGTAGCAGCCTTACCCAGTCCGAATCTTGCCCGCTCAAGATCTGAGTGTGTATGACTAAACTAAGTAACTTGGTTTATGGGTATTCGTCTGAAAATAACTGGAGATGGATGCCCACCCACTGAAATGGCTGTGAGGATTGGTCCTTGGTGGCAAGCATTTGTCCTATCACGTTTTTATGGTCTGGATTTCTTTTTACTACATTTTTTGGATACAAGTGTGTCAGACCACTGCTCTGCCAGGGCCAACACTGGTCTTGCTCCTGCCTGAGCAGCTAGTTCCTAACCCTGAGGCTGACTCCTGGGGTAAAGTATACTTCAGGCTTGCCTTGTGAAGGACAGCCGACACCTGAGCAAAGGTCACAGACAGGGGCTGTAATTCTCCCCACGGTTTGGACAGTGACGGAGAGGTCAGCACACTAACAGGTATGTATTCAGAGCACTCACACCTGATAGTAGGTGGGGCAATGAGTGAAGGGAACAGAGAAGTGAAGGAAACCACACAAGACACGAAGTGTACCCTGCGGCTGCCATGTCAACCACTTTCTACTTACCAAGCTGAAAAACAAAAAGCACAAGTTTCAGCCCAGTGTAGTCTTGCCTCACTCTGGGCATTACATGCAATTTAATCTCACAGCTAAGTAGGTATCTTCGAACAAGGCAGGGACACCTACCAAACAAGGACGCGATCTTCGAGGAACTGAAGAAAACGATTTATGTGCACCTAACAGTACTTACAAACCACTGGTTTTATTTAGTCATTAGTATATTGGTATATACATGTCACACATATATTCAGTCTCTGAAACAGAGCACTGCCATCAGGTCACTTGCTGACCGCCACCTCCAGGCAGCACACGCTGGGCTGCAGAGGAAAAGGCCAGACTTCCAACCACTCAGCAGTCAATTAACCACAAGTTGTCTTGGGAACTTCAAAACAAAAATGTGTGTGAAAACTGTATCACTCATTTTCTAGTGAATGAACAAATAAACATTGAAAATTAGGACAAACTAGCCACATGTGGTGGTACAAGCCTTTAATCCCTGCATTTGAGAGGCAGAGGCAGGAGGATCTTTGTGAGCTCAAGAAATAAAAATGAATGAATAAATAAAACAATAAAATTAGCGTAAGCTGATAGGTCAGCCGAAGCTACTCAAGTATTTAAATCTGGATCATTTATTTCAGGTTATACAGAAGTCTGCTAATGTTTGTTCAAACCAGAACCCAAGAAATGTCAGGTAGAAAAGAACAAATGCGGTGGTTCTCCAGAGACCAAGTCTCCCACGCAGGCTCCATGCACTGCTCAGGGTGTGATGACTCTACAGAGCAGGTCGGGCAGCCTCAGCTGGGGCGCTCTCACACCAGGCTGCTCAGTTCAGATCCCAGCACAGGTGGCATCCCCAGGCTATGACTTGCTTTCTTCTTTTTCCTCAGTGAGTGCTTCCCACATCGGCTTCTTGATGTGTTCTGGCAACTGCTGTATCTGTGTCTAAAACCAAAAATAAACCAAACTGGAACGCAGTATGGACTTTGAAATGAACTCTGCCTACAACCCAGACCTACTGACCTGTCATATCCTCCTGCTTCTTGTTAATCCCCTGCCTTCAAGGGTTTTCAAGGAGAGAAGGGAGCATAAAGCATGGTGTATAACTGCTTGATCCCCAGTGACCTCCGAGTGGAGCCGTATTGTGGTTCCCAAGTCTAAACAGCTATTAGGGAGACTTCCAAGGTGGCTCGAGGAGGACTTGGGTAGTGGTGGGGCAGGTTCCCCATGTACCATAGACCCTCACCCCCACAGCTAGGACAAAACAACCCAGCCAGCCCCCTTGAGGCAGGAATCAGGACATACCTTTGTTACTTCCATGGCAACCCCTTCGGGTAAGTTTCGCTGGATATATTCCAAGTAGACATTGGCTGTGCATCCGGTCAAGTGTTTTAACTAAAACAGAAAAATGAAGATGTCCTGCCGCAATGTCAGATCACACTGAGGTTCTCTTCGTCCTTTGTCACTCCCACCATGTTCCCTCAGTGATAAAGCCTGTTCTGAGAAATCTTACACAGAATCTCATTTTTAAAATATATAGGAGTGCTGGAGGGTTTAGTAGTTATGAGCCCTGGCTGCTCTTGAAAAGGACTCAGGTTCAGTTCCCAGTACCCACACAATGCCTCATAACCATCTGTAACTCCAGTTCCAGGGGATCCAATTCTCTCCTCTGACCTCTGCTGGCTGTAGGTACACATGTGATGCACAGGTGTACATGCAGGCAGGCACTCATACACAAAAAATTAATAAAGCTAAACAGCTTTTTAAAAAACCCACATAGGAGCCAATAAGATGTTTTAGTGGGTAAAGGCACTGCTCTCTAAGCCCGACAACCTGAGAATAATCCCCGGCACTCACATGGTCAAAGGAGAGAACCGGCCACCACAAGATGTCCTCTGATCTCCACACATGGCTTATGGCATGTGCCCCTATCCCCACAAATAAATAAGTAAATGTTTTTGTTTGTTGTTTTGGTTTTCAAGTCTTGGCTTCTCTGTGTAGCCTTGGCTGTCCTGGCCTTGAGCTCAGATATCTACCTGCCTCTGCTTCCCCAGTGCTGGGATTAAAAGTGTATGCTACCACCACCCAGCACAAATACATTTTTTTTTTTTTAAGTATAGATTCCCTGTTTGTTGTTGTTTTTTTTTTTTTTTTTTTTTTTTGTCAAAAGAGAAGTATAGCTCCACTGACTGACCTTGATGAGGGCTGGAGAGACTGCTCAGAGGTTAAGAGCACCGACTGCTCTTCCAGAGGTCCTGAGTTCAATTCCCAGAAACCACATGGTGGCTCACAGCCATCCATTATGAGATCTGGTGCTCTCTTCTGGTGTGCAGATATACATGGAAGCAGAATGTTGTATACATAATAAATAAATAAAATATTTTTAAAAAAATGCTACATGAGTGTTCTGCCTCATGTAAGTCTGTGCACCACAAACAAGTGCCGGTGTTCTTGGAAGCAAGTGAGGACAGTGGGTCCCTGGACCTGGAGTTCCAGATGCTGGCTGACAGCCACAGTGTGGGTGCTGGGAATTGAACTCAGGTCCTCTGGAAGGGCAGCCAATGCTTTTAACTACTGAGCCACCTCTCCAGCCCCTTGTTTTGCTGTTTGAAACAAGGTCACTACATACAGCAGTGTAGCCTCCAGCTTTCTGTCCTTGTCTCCCATACAAGTGTATTCTAACACATCTGACTAGAATTGTTTTTTTTTTCCTTTTTTTTTTCCAAGACAGGGTTTCTGTGCGGCTTTGGAGCCTGTCCTGGAACTAGTTCTTGTAGACCAGGCTGGTCTGGAACTCAGAGATCCGCCTGCCTCTGCCTCCCTAGTGCTAGGACTAAATGTGTGGGTCGCCACTACCCAGCTCTGGCTAGAATTGTATAGCATATCCTTTTATCAAGTTTTTTGTTGTTTTGAAACAAGGTCTCATAGAACCTAGACTACTATCGAATTCACTGGACACCCAAGAAGACCTTAAACTCCTGATCCTCCTGCCTCTCTCTCCTAAATGCTGGGATTACAGGTGTGAGCCACTATGTTCGGGTAAAGTGTATAAAATATTAAATAGACTTTTGAAATTGAAGCCAAACGGTTTCAGTGCTGTTTCACGGGGCCTTCACATGCTGAGCCGCTACCAGCCCTGCTCTTCTTTCTGAAGTCCATATCACTCTAAAGGATGGCTTGGAGTCTGCTTTTCCTATTGGACAGTGTTCACAAGAACAAGAGCCACCTTCCAGACCCGAGCGAAGTCATGCTACATGCTAACAAGAAGTTCTGGGTGTTCCACAGATGCATGCGGGCTGAAGGGGAGGAAACCCACCTCAAAACATCTGTAGAGTGTCCTCATCTCATACTGAACCCTGTGCTTCTTGAAAATGTGCACTGACTTGAGAAGAGTGAACCGCTCAATCTTCCTTGGCGGCTCATGTCTGAAAGAATGGGCACAACAAACTTGAGCTGGGTGATGGGACACGTGAGTCACTCCTATCAAAGCACCGTCCCACAGCTGTGCAGGCCAGACTCGTTCAATTATAGGCACTAACTGCCACTTACTGACTTCCATTTGTCAAGCCTCATCTGTAACAGCTGCTTTCACAAGTCTCAGGCCAAAATAAATATTTCAGATAGCAAGAGGAACCCTGCCCACACCCCAATCAAGCAGTGCCATGCAAGAACGAGCACACCTCCCAAGTCCCTCCCTCACATCCCAAGTATGCCAGTTTTGAAGAGCGACAACAGTGCTAGGATCATTTCTGGATACACTGACAATCACAAAACAATCTGTTCTGGGAAACAATTTAGTCTTCTGTTTTTGCACAAGGGTAGGCTGGTAATGCCTCCAAGGAGCCCTGTTCAACACCAGAAGGGGCAGCATCAAGAGGCAGCTCCAGTTCACTCTGCAGTGACTTCACGGCCTCCCAAGCTCAACTTACTTAAAGCTCCAGGAGGCCATGGTGCTCACGTGGCTGCTCACAGTGGAGGTGTCAGCCAATGAACATTATGGCCAGTCTCAACAGAACAGTGCCTCACAGCCTCCCTCATGCAGATCCCAGACAGAAGGCTTTCTGGGTTACTTATGCCAGTGCAATCTCCAGAAATGGTTTCTTTCATTTCCTTGTTTACTCATTTAGGACTTAGCAATTCTAGCAGACAAGAAGAGACACCACTTCTCAGAGGATAACACAGGACAAGCTTCAACTTTACCCACAAACTCACCCTCTTTTACAAGCTCAGATCACAGTCTGGTTCCTGGCTAATCACATGATAGCAGACAAGTCAGGTTTGGAAAGGTCATACTCACACATTAATAGAAATGCCAAGTTCTTTAGCAGCGAGCACGGCAAAATATTCGTAACTGTCTAATACAGCCTTGTCATGGGCTTTCACTAAGATGGACAGGCGTTTATACAATGTGTCTGGCTCATCAGACGTGGTTATCTGAAATAAAGAAGTTTTGATTTTGGTGCTTGTAATACTTATAACCAGCAAATTTAACATATTATTGGTTGAATGATTTCAGTTTGCTAATAAATGTGAAAAATGGCAAGCAATGTTTAAAACCACTAGCTTAACTACTTCCAATGTCACATACATCTGCAAAAATGATCTTCCAAACCTGTCAAAATCTACTAAGGATCAGACAACCTTCAATGTTACTACAAAATCACTATGAATGTTCCAAATTAATTACTACCAAGCCCCAGATTCTACTGAGAAAGGGTTCAGTGTCTGCTAACAAGTGACCTGGTGAGAAGGTTGGGACTGAAGAGCTACCTACTGGTGGCTGGAAAATGAGAGAACTGTATGATTTCCTGGTTCTCTGTGTACTCATGTTTAAGGTTGGGTAATGACACTTGTACTAAAAGCTCATGGCATTCCTGCAAGGAAAACCTACGAAGACACACATTAAAGTGCTTATAAATCGTTAAACACTGCTATACAACTGTTAAACATTGTAATTGTTATACAAAGCCCAGCTAGCTCTATTCATCCTTTTTTATTGGAGTTATTCATGTATGGCTGGCCTGTCTTCATACAGAAATTACTCATGTCTAATTAAAATGTTATGACACTGGCTGGACCTTCCACACTAATACCTAAAGACCTTAGAAATAATGGGCTTGACATTTCTGACTTCTTCTAGGAGGTGAATTATCTTCATTTCCTTCACCCATTAAACCGGTAAATGCTATTACTAATCTAGTGAGTCAGGTTAAATACCTTACCCTGTAAAGAGAGCTACTTAACAAACAGGAAGGCAGACATCTACTCAATTACTCAAGTAAAATGGTTGGGAAAACAGAGGTAACTGACTTCTGATCTTTTTTTTTTTTTTGGTTTTTTGAGACAGGGTTTCTCTGTGTAGCTTTGGAGGCTGTACTGGCACTTGCTCTGGAGACCAGGCTGGCCTTCAACTCACAGAGATCTGCCTGCCTCTGCCTCCCGAGTGCTGGGATTAAAGGCATGTGCCACCAACGCCTGGTCAGCCCCAATATTTCTAATATTTATTAAGTGAATAAAAAAAAAAAAAAGAAATAGTTGCATACTGTGAATAACACGATTTCATGTCATACACACACACCTATGTGTGTATGCATGATTATGTGTACATATATACATATGTGTATATATATGTGTGTGTATGTGTGTGTGTGTATTTATAATCATACCAACTAAAAAGAAATTTTTTTTGAAGGTGGAAATGGAAGGATTTGGAATTTTTAGAACGCTAGAAAAAAATCCAGATAGACTGTGGAATGCACACCTTTAATGCCAGCACTGAGGAGGCAGAGGCAGGTGGATGGGATCTCTTGAGTCTGGTTCCAGACTGGTCTGCAGAGTGAATTCCAGGACAACCAGGGCTACACAGAGAAACCCTGCTTTGAAAAAACAACAAAAGTGGAAAAAAAGAAAAAAAAAAATCCAAGTAAGAGTTAGGAGTAGTGACGCACCTGTAACCTTACCACTTAATACAAGGTAGGAGGATTAGGAGTTCAAGGTCATCCTTGGCTCATAGCTAGCTCAAGGCTAGCCTGGGCTAGACAGCATCTTGTCTTAAACTCCATATGGTCACATGGCTAACTACTTGTGTATTCCCACTATGCCAAAGATCTGTGTCAGTGTGAAGGGAGCACTGTTCATGCCCAGGCTCAACACTCTAAAGAAAAGACTTAAAGGCTACTGAAAGACGATTTTTCTGCAACATCAGGATTCAGCATTGCTAATTATCGCATTCTTGAATTATGCTAAACTAAGAGCAGGAGAGTGCTCATTACCAGTATTTGGGGTAAATAATATATTCCTTTAGGACTTACTTTGACAGCATGAAAAATAGCACAGGTGCTCTTCCCAGAGACATCAGTCTGCAGTAAGCACTTGCCGCTATTCCAGTAGAAACAAATGCAGGTGTCTGGGAAATTATTAGTGTCATTCCTTTTGCTGTTGTTTCTTGAGATGGGGTTGCATGTAGCCCAGGCAGGCCCTGAACTTGCTATGTGATCGAGGATACCTTACATGGCCTACACTGCCATGTCCTGGCTAATGGGGTACCTACCGTGGGCTTGGTCAAATCCTTTGGAACATCGATGTGCAAGCGTGACAATGGAGCCCACCTCACACTGGTGCTGCTGTGTGGGAAAGAGAGGCCTCAGTCAGGCAGCATGGAACCCCATTTTCTAGCACAATTAAGCACATCTAGTAGCATACTTACAGCAGGAGGCCACCAGTTTGGGCTGTGCTGCTCTTAGAACCATTTACAGACAAATTCCCCAATTCCTAAAAAGAATGGAGGAGCAGGTGTCAGAGACAAAGTCAGTTTCCAGAGCACTGGTGGTTTCTCCCGCAAGTCAGAGGTGCATGTGCCCAGCCAAGGGTCAAAATCTCTTAGAGGAAGACAGTGGGCACGAGAACGACCAGATTAGAGTCCATCAAAGACAAAGTGCCTACTGCTCTTAGGACCCTGGTTCAGTTCCCAGCACCCACACTACTAACTCTAGTTCCAGGGCATTGATGCCTTCTGGCCTCCGTGGGCACCCACATGCATGTGGTACACAGAAAACCCACACAGGTACACACACAGACAAATGAATTAAAAGCGAAACAAACAAAACAACTCAGCTAGGCATGGTGGTGCATGCCTTTGATTAGAGCACTTGGGAGGTGGAGCAGGAAGATCCATGAGTTCAAGGACAGTCAGATCTACAGAGTGACTGTCTCACAAACAACACAAAAATCCTTTAAAATTACATGTCTGTATAATTTAATCTGTAACAGCTGGCATAATCTTTGCTTGGCTAAAGCACCTTGCCTGTAAAGAAATACAGCACACATCATGCCCATACCCATCATTACTGCAGGGCAAGCAGCCCTAACTCAGTACTGCCCAAACCCTTTTAGTGAGCGCCCCCTGGTGGAACTGTTTTAGGAGGCAAACAGCACCAGAATGTTTGGCTTCTTTTCCACCCAGTAGTCCTTTAGACTTTCCTGAGATTGAACAGTGAAACCCTAGAAAGCAGCATTAAAAATACAACAAAGATGGAAATGACTGGCAAGTAAACATAAAGCTTAATTACACAACTAACGGTGCACTTAAAACAGCCTGCACTCAGCACTTGGGAGGCAGAAAGAGGACCTGTGAGTTTGGGCCAGCCTGGTGTACATAGGAAGTTCCGGGACAGCCAGAACTGCATAGAGAAACCCTGTCTCCAAACAAACAAATGCCCAAACCAGCCCATGCTTTCGGTTCCCTGTTCTTTCTTTACTCCTGCTGTGAGACAACAGCTTCCAATCTTACTTGCCTCACAAGCAAGGCATAATGTAAGAGCATGCCTCACTCCTCACTACACTCACACAGTTAAGCTCTACTACACGGTGACCCAAACCCAAGACACACAACGCTTCCTGGCCTTAGTCTTCCTCTAGTATTTTTCTTTCTGAGATGGGGTTGCATGCAGTCCAAACTAGCCTCAAACTGGATGGAGAGAATGGCCTTGAGCTCCCAGTGTGTCTGCCTTCACCTGCAAGGGTTGGCTGTGAGCACTGACCTAGCTTTGAGGGCTTGGGTGTGTGCAGATTTGGCTAGAAAAAGTTTTACTTACAAGCACAAAGATTTCAGTCTCTAGCATATTTTTCTTAAAAAAAAAAAAGTCTACATGTGTATGGGCATGTCTACATACATGCATGTTTGTGCAGGTGCAAGTGTGTGGAGGCTAGTGGAAGCTGTTGGGTGTCAGTCTCCACCTACTTCGTTAAGGAAGGGTCTGTCCCATCCCCAAACTTGAGTTTTCTTGGCTAGTGTGGAAGCCAGAAAGCTTCAGTGGCCCTCCTGTGACTGACGGCAGCTGGGGTCACAGGTGAGCATTGAACCCCCATCCTCACAGCTCTGCAGCAAGTGCTCATAGCCGCTGGACACCTCTCTAGCCCACATCCATTTCCCTAAGAATGGTGGTTGGTTATGAAAGTGTGGCTGGGACCTCTCATGAATCATTAAGACTGCCAGGAGCCCTGAAACCAAAGCTTTGCAAAATAACACTAAGACTTTTTTACTTTCATTCGTTCACTGGTGCACAGTGGATGTCTCCAAAGCTGCATGAGTTGTATTATATACTAAATATTGTTATGTTATACACTAAATATGCTTCACATACTAAAACATTAGTCTTCATTAAATTTGCTTTTGCTTCGGCAAACAGTTTTTCTAAAGTGTTAACTACTTAACATATTCGACTCCAAGGCTGGAGTCAGTGGCAGAACATTTGTCAGGTGTGGGCGAGGCCATGGGCTCAATCTCTAACATGACTTTTTTTTTTTTTTCCTTTTGAGACAGGCTCATGGAGCCCAGTCTGATTCTGAACTCTTCATGCAGCTGAGAATGAGTCTTGCCTCTACCTCTCAAGCAAGTATGTGGTTGTACAGGTGTGGGCCACCACTTCTGGGATATGTGGTGCTGTCGAACCAACAAAGGGCCGCCTTCAGGCGTGTTAGTCAAGCCTCTAGCCACGGAGCTACATCCTCAGCACCTCCCTTTTCCATTCGCTTTCTTTCTTTCTTTCTTTCTTTCTTTCTTTCTTTCTTTCTTTCTTTCTTTCTTTCTTTTTGTGTGTGTAGGTTCCAAACAGGGTTTTTCTGTGTAGCCCTGACTGTCCTGTAACGTGGCGATCTGTAGACCAGGCTGGCCTCAAACTCAGAGATCTGCCTGCCTCTGCCTCCCTAGTGCGGGAGGTCTATTTCTATAGACAGGGTCTGGATGGGCGGGCCAGGCTGGGGCCACCTTCCTTTTGCTTTCCAAGCGCTGCTATCACAGCGAGCCGTCACGGCCAGGTCTCAGCTTAGTTGTCGAAACTACTGAACGGCCACTGATGAGATTCTCAAAGGTTCCTGGGAACCGCCGGGTCACAGGTTTTCCCGCCTCCTCGCCTCCCCGCTCGCCCTGACGAGAAAGGAGCGCTCCTGAGCGCGCTTCCCTCTCTCCCGCTCGCCCCTGTCTCAGCAACCAGACAACAGTCAGCCCTTTCTTGTCACTTTTTAACAACAACCCAAGCAGGGTGGCAGCGAGACCCGGCGCCTGCGCCTTCGGCCCGCCGGCTCCCCCGCGGACCCCTTTACCTGCCGCCAGCGCCGGCACACGGCCGCACACGCCGCGCGCAACGCCATCTTGATGCCCTGACCCCGGGATCGCTTCCGGGGTCACAACGCCGTCCTCCGACCATAGAGTTCCACCGAGAGACAGAGAGTGCCTCCTTGCGTTCCGCAAGGAGGTGGGTCTTCATTTTTTTTTTTTAATTTCGACTTTATTATTTATTATTCACTCATTCAGTTATCTTTTTGAATGGGTGCGTTGCTTTTGTAGTTTGGATAAACTGGCTTCAGCCCCGACCTAGTTATCAAGTTTTATATAAATGCTGTTTATCCTAAAATCCTGCTTGTCTTGGGTGGTTCAGTTTGGTTAGAGACAAACACAAGAAAACACATGCTTGAACAGAAGAAATTTACTGCTACTACTGAGATCAAACTCTGACATTTTGTCTTATTGCAAAAGCTATTTTGTCTTAAACTTTCTCTACACCAATTGAAATGCCTGGCTTGTTAATGGAAACTTCTAAGCTTTGTTTTTCAAAATGCCTTCATGTGCAATCCAACTTATTGAAAAGCTCTACAGTTAGGAGCTCTGGTTTCTATTTAGCTGGGTGACTTGATCAAATTTCTTCCCTTCTCTGAACCCATTTTCTCATTTGCCAAGTAGAGGTGAGAGAAGAAATTATACTTATAGGAGAGGATTTAATAAGATACTGGTATAGTGTTTAGTCCGATACCTACCACATGATAGATGCCATCATTTGTCACCCAGATCTATGTCTTGGGTCTTCAGAGACTGTTGGGGAGATAAATAAGGATCAACTTAAGGAGAAGAATACATAGTCTCTCGATAAAGCACTGTGCAAATGTAAAGTTGTATCTCCCACAAGTAAGTATTGGTCAGACAAGAGATCTAACCAAAGGGTAGAATGAATTGGTCCAGATGGCACAAACTGGTGAAAGATCTGATAGTATGAACCACGTGCCTGCTCCTTGGGCTGACCTCTGTGGTGGTATTTCTATGCCTCTCTATGGAAACAGAGTCCTCATTAGTACTTGGCTGGATTTGGCTTTGCCCTACCTGGGCAGGTAACCCAGAGGCAACCTCCTCAGAATTAAGCTCTCTCTAATTCAGGGTGGTCCCTCCCAGTCATTGGTCTGTTCTGACAGTTACCCTAACCTGCTACTTCATCTCCCTGCTACTTCTCTCCTCGTGGCACCTACAGGATGGCTCTTCAGCCAGCCTCCTGCCCTTCCAGGTTGTCTCAGCTAGGTGAGTGTGCTGTACCCATAATGAGAGAACAGCTTGAAAATGACTTCCACTTAGTTTACCTAATCTCATCCTTATGAAAATTATTGTATCTTATTTTTTAGGTGGGGAAACTGAGGCTCAGAGATGAGTTGATTTGGTCAAGTTCAAATGGTGAGTTACAACTGAACATGCAATCATCTTCGTAATCCCAATTCAAGGCCTAATCTACCCTGTGCAGTGGGCTGGTTATGTCTGTGGTGACGATCAGTTTTGTTGTCTGTTTTGGAGGAGAGCACTGAAGACACCCACCCTCCCTATACCCACATTACAAAGAAAAGGCAGTTGTCTTTTTTTTTTTTTTTTTTAAAGATTTATTTATTACATATACAGTGTTCTGCCTACGTGCCAGCAGAGGGCACCAGATTGAATTGTAGATGGTTGTGAGTCACCATGTGGTTGCTGGGAATTGAACTCAGACCCCTGAGCAGTCAGTGCTCTTAACTTCTAAGCCATTTCTCCAGCCCAAGGCAGTTGTCTTTATTGACTTGGTGGCATGGTCTGCTAATTGGAACCAGAGTGGTGTGTTCTAAGCGGCCTTAGGACTGGGTGTCCCCCACTCCTCAGAGGCCTTGGCCTCTCTCTTGATGGACTCTCTCAGCTGACACTCAGCTTGCTCAGGCCTCTGTATGTGGTCACTGCAGCTGCCTTTGGTTCATCAGATTTCTCCACATCTGTGCTCAAATGTGGGGGTTTACTGAGATTCCCCTCATTTTCCTCACGGAAGCCATAAGTCATAAAACTGTATTTCAGTGTAAGGCCTCAGGGGCAAGTGGGAACCTTATGCATTTAGCCGGGACAAGGTGGGAGTCACCATGTCTAAATTAGGATTTCTATTGCTTTGACAAAACACCATGACCAAAGCAAACATGGAGATAGAAGGATTTATTTGGCTTACACTTCCATATCACAGTTCATCATTAAAGGAAGTCAGGCCAGGAACCTGGAGGCAGGAGCTGATGTGGCAGTATAACCATGGAGGAGTGTTCCTTACAGGCTTGCTCCTCATGGTTTGTACAGCCTGCTTTCTTATAGAATCCAGGACCTCCAGCCCAAGGGTAGCCCACCCACAATGTGCTGGGCCCTCCCCCATCAATCACTAATTAGGAAAATGCCCTATAGACTTGCCTCAGCCTGATTTTAGGGAGGCAGCTCGCTTTCTTTCTTTCTTTCTTTCTTTCTTTCTTTCTTTCTTTCTTCCTTT